GCCGTGGGAGCCAGGCTCCTTACCCCCAAGAGGGGGAAGGCCGTCTTCCCTGGCCAGCCGCGCCGACCCTCGCCCTCCAGTCAGAGGCTACTACCCAGAGGTCCAGAAGGCGGGAGTTGGCTAGTGCCGGGTTCTCCTCATCCGGCCATGCGGCGCGGGGGCGGCCATCCTGAGGGGTCCGGGATCCAAGAGGGCACGGGGGGGCCGGACGCGGCGCTCACCCGCGGGCCGCCTCCAGGCTCTTAATGAGCTTCTTGATCTTCCAGATCTCCACGTTCCTATCGGCAGCACTGGGGTCGTCCGCCATCTTCTCGCCTCCTCCTCCCTAGAGCGGCCCGGCGGGGCCCGGAGACACCAAGACCACAGAGTTAGCGCCGCCGCCGGGGCAGAGCGGCCCCCTTCTTCGCCACCCCCGAGCTGCCCTCCTCTCCCCGCCCTGCCGGCCCGCCGCGCCGGGCGCCGGCCTTCCCTACGCCCACTCTACCTAAGGGCCCAGTCCTGGGCGGTAGCGGCTGCTCCTCCCCGGCGGCGGCTCCGCGGCGGCGGCGGCTCTGACGTAGGACACCGGCTCCCTCTCTCCAGGCAGCTGCATGTGTTGCAATCCGCTCACATGGGGCCTCTGATCTCACTTCCTCCGCCAGGGGCGGAGTGGAAGGCGGCAGGCGGAAGGGAGGGGGCCGGCGCGGCGAGGAGAGGCCGTGCGCGCGCCGCGACTTCCCATTGGCTCCCCGCGCCCCTGCTTGCAAGACACGATGTGATTGGCTGCCTCCGCGGCCGCGCTGCCTTGTGAGGTATGGGCCGGCGAGCGGGAGGGACCGCCTTCCTTCCGGCCCGGCGCCGCTGGAGGAGGAAGCGAGCGGAATTCGGTGGCTCTCGCGAGCCTCCTCTCGGCCTCCGCGGGCTGGAGCGGGGGTGGCTCTTAAAGGGCGAGGCGGAGAGCGGTCGTCGCCCCTGGTTCCTCGCCCTCGATCCGAGGCTCCGCGACGCGGAGTCCAGCTCCTCGGGCACGTACGTACGTGCCTACGGTCAGCCGTGTTTGAGTTGAGAAGCTTGGAGGAAACGTCTCGACGCGGTCCTGCTTTCTCTCCGCCCGAGCGCTGTTTCCTGCGTGCATCAGGGCTTCGCGAGCAAAAGTCCAGAATCCAGGCCGCCGGGTAGAGAGCAGGAACTTGGCCGAGGCTGGAGCCGATCGGCTGTGCGGGGGTGGAGGAGGGTTTCACTGTGTGGCTTCACTTTGGACTCGGACTTTGGGGGGTTGAAGGATGCTGGGGTTGCCTGAGATTGGAGACCCAAGGTATCTGAGAGCATGCGTGTTTTGTTCTTAACTGTTGAGGGTGGAGGTGGGGAGAATGTTGAAAGCGTTAGAACTTTTACTTTATGAGTTAAGCTTTCCAGTTGTCTGTCTCCCTTTGCTTCATTTGGGTGCATTCAAATGTTTGACCTCGGAGCAAGTGCTAGATTTTTCTGGGAATAAAAGTGAACCGAGTAAATAGCGTAACTCTAATGGAGCTAGTTGAGTTTATAATCGTAATTTTTTATTGTTTCGTTTGTTTGAGACAGGGTCTTGAGGTTGGACTCAAATTCCGTGCAATAATCATGGCTCAGCCTAGCGAACGATGGGATTACAGATGTTAACCACTAAACCCAGCTGATTTTTATTTTTATATTTTGTATAAAATAATTGTACGAATATTTAAATACTAAGGTGCTCAGAGGGTGTATGACAAATCTAATTCTGGGTGGGCGCGGTGGCGCACACCTGTAATCCCAGCACTTGGGGAGGCAGAAACAGGCGGATCTCTTGAGTTCCAGGCCAGCCTGATCTACAAAGCGAGCCCACGACAGCCAAGGCTACACAGAGAAATCCTGTTTCGAAAAAAAAACAACAAACAAAAATAATAAATTAAATTTCAAAAAATCTAATTTTGAAATGAGGTATGGAGAATGAGTAAATTTCTCAGAGGGGGCCTGACATATTTGAGGAGCTACAAAAAAGGACGGTGTGCAGCAGCAGTGGAAATTCATTGAGGGATTTTTAAAAATCCCTCAAACGAAGCATTTGAAAGGCAGTGGATTCATCTGCAGTATCAGGAAGAACAAGAAGAGACACAAGTCCAGGGCTCAGGACCCTCCTAGACTTTATTCCATGTGTCATCAGAGTGTTGTTCTGTCTCTTTTGTAATATCCTTGGAATGGATAGCGTGTCCTTGAATTTGGTGATCCACTCTAGCAAGTTATCAAATCCAGGGAGAAGTTCCCAGTTTGACTTAGGCGCAGGTGTCAACCCGAAACTGTTAATGGGCATCCAAAGTTGGGGTAAGCCTGGAGACTGCTCTTCACTCGTAGGATCTAGCGCTAACTTCAGTTAGTGCCTAGTATTGGGGGGACCCTAGGCATTTGGCCACAGAAGTTGAATGTAAACAATTCATCGTTAAGTATGTTAGTAAAGCAAATGCCTCTTTCCTGGGTCTTGAGGGTGCTAGGAAACACTGCCACCTACTCTTCGTGCCGTATCCCCAACCCTTCCCTAGCTGTCTTAAATTATGTGGTGTATTTCTGCCCTATCCAGAGTCCCATAGATTTTTTTGCTTTGAACTGAGTGTTTCAGTGGTACAACACTTGCCTGCCATGAGCCAAACTCTGGATTTGAACTTTATCATTAGGGGTGAAAAAAGGCTGGTGTGTTGGTGCGTGACTGTACTAGTTATTCTGTAGTTAGCCAACAGCTGCTCTAGGACAGAGATGGTCAGCTGAGTTCAGGAACTTGAGTCAAGCACAGGGAACACAGACTACCATCTAGGAAAAAAAATGTACTTGGGTGGCTAGGGGAGGGTGGGATAATGGTAATACCTAATCTCTATTGTTAAAAGAATGATGCAGGAGGATCATGAGTTTAAGGTCTCCCCAAGCTAGAGTAAATTTAGAGTTTTGTGGAGTGGTGGTGGTAAAGACAGTTTCTCAGTTTAGGATTACAGTTGCAGTCTACCGTGCCTGGCTAAATAATTTTACACGGGGAGGGGGCTAATGAATGGTTTAGCAGTTAAGAGTATTTGCATGGGCTGCTCTTCCAGAAGACTGGGTTTGATCTTAGCAGCCAAATGTCGGCTGTAATTCCAGATCCAGGGGCACTAGGCAAACCAATGCACATAAAAAAAGATAAACAAGAGAAAGGCTGCGGCCCTCGTTGAGTGGTAGAGAATGTACTATGTGCAGGGCCATTCCTCAACACCAGAAAAATCTAGTTTACATTCAGTACAATGTAAAACTAAAGTCCACTTTGCAAGGACTTGTTTTTTTGCCTTACAAACCACTACCATTGTTTCTAATCCCTATCTTTTGCACCATGCATCAAGAACTTCAGACTGAGTTTAGCACTCATGTGGTCCTGGTCTGATCAAAGAAACTGCTTATTGTTTTTAAGACAGGATCTAACCACAGTGCAACTGGTTCCAAACTTAGGGAATCCCTCAGCCTCCTAGATGTTGGAATTACAGGTGGGAGTCTCATGTTTGATGCAAGTTTTAATATGGTTTATATATGGAAGTTATCAATGTTGATTTTTCTGGTTTTGATGATTGTGGAAATCATGTAAAAATGCATGCTGAAATACCTGGGGTTAAGCATTGAGTGAAACGTGCAAGGTAACAAAACGTTCCTTGAATCTGGTAGCCAGATCATGATAGCTTTGAACAGGATGACACCTGACTGCTGTGGGAAAGGGCTGGGGTAGTGTATCAGTGGTGGAAGACTAAACTTGGACTAATCCAGCAAGATGGCTCAGTGGGTTAAGGTTCTTGCTGCCAATACTTGAGTTCCATTCCTGGAAATCCACATTGTGCAGATAATCAGCTCCTATAAGGTATGCTATGGTATATATGTACCCACAAACATACATACACACAAAGAAATGTAAAAATATATCATGTAGGAAAAATTCAGGGCAATCCAAGTGGTAGCTTAAAGTACATTATTCTATGTGTGCTTTTGATTTTTATTAAAAAGTTTGACCAACCACAAGCTTTAGTGGATTTACTTTAAGACCAAGCCTAGATGGTGGTCTAACCAAGTACTAAAGATCAGAAAGGGAAATCCTTACATAAGTTTGCTTTCCAATATGGGCATTCAAAGCATTCAGAACCTAAGGGGCTCACAAGCAGAACATGGAACTTGAAATTGTTTCCTTTACCTTTGTATTTTGGAGTGAAATTTTGGTTGTCTTGCCTGCAACAGTGAATTGTGAGGTTTCTGTTTCCACATGAACTAATACCTTACACAGTAAGTAGCTGTGTGTCCTGATATTTTTCTATCTTGGAAACCCTAGTATCCTAATCCCTGTCTCAGAAGGTTTTTGAAACCTGTGGGCTTGGTGATACACTTTAATCAGCAGCACAAAGGGCTCTTCTAGAGGCTCACATGCACACAGCCACAGACAATAAAGTGGTCTTTCTCTGAAGGATGGAGTTGGGATAACTCCACACTAGGATGAAAATAAGCAAAAACTATGGGCACCTATCACTGAAATCTGTCAGTAGGATTTATTACTATTTAAAAAAAAAAAAACACCTTATGTATGTACTGTTCTGCCTGCATATTAAAAGAGGGCACCAGATTTCACTATAGATGGTTGTGAGCCACCATGTGGTTGCTGGGAATTGAACTCAGGACCTCTGGAAGAGCAACCAGTGCTCTTGCTCTCTGAGCCATCTCTCCAGCCCCCCACTATGTTCAATTTTCTTTAAACCAACTCTGCTTGCTAATTTGCTCAAGCTTATTAATAAGCACGGCACTTTTTTTTTCCCTAGATAGAAGACAACGGATTTGTTTATGCCAGTACTTTTGAGAGAGTGTATCACTGTGTGGCCCTGCTTGGCCTCAAACTGCTTTATGAGTACTTCCATATCTTAACAATTTATTCGTCCTTCCACATCTTCAGTTTGTTCAACCTTTTAGCCAGTGTTAGAAAATCCTTTTTACTGAAGCCATCACCATCCACAAAGTAATCAAGATACTTTCAGAATTTTATTTTTTTAAAAAAGAAATCCAGAATGGATGGATAAAGAACAATCATCAAGGATATAGGTGCCAAACAACAGCCAACCAAGAGGGTAGCTAGAAAAGTATGGTCTAGCTTCTGTACCTACAGACCATGGCACAGATAGCTTGTTTTGAAAGGCCTCAGTTGAAGGACCAAATGTACACAAAAGGCATTCTTTATAGCAGTGCCCTTAGCCAACAAGGATCTCAAATCAAGGTCTACCTCCACTATGTGTGAAATAGGCTTCCCACCTTGAAAACATGGCCACTTCAGTACAAACCAGATATACCTTAAAATGATTGGTATAGAGTCCCATCCCACCCCTTTACATGCAGCTGAAAATAACAGGCTAGTGACAGAACAGTCTGAACCTGCTACTGCTGAATTTATCACCCATTAAATGAGTTAGCTAATTGTCACTAAATTTATATATTAAGGAAATTATATATAGAATACTGCAAAAACACAGTAAAAGACTGAAGTTTGCCCCTTTTCTGCTCAGGAAGTTCCTTCACTCCCAAGCTTCATAGCATGTTGTCCTTCTGGCTCCACAATGCACTGCCACCGTTACTGTTTCTCCTCCTTCTGATCTTCTTTCTGTTCCCCAGTGCCAGAACTTCCAGAACCTTCCCGTTCGGATGCCATCTGTTGAGAAAACAGTGAAGAATGACTAAAATCTCACATAGCCCCAACACGCCTATCTGTCACGCATACCTTCCCTGTACTTATCCCCCACCTTGGACACCAGCAGTCATCCTTATGCCTTTCCCCGTGACATTCTAGTCCCAGTGCTCTCACCTGTGTAAATGGTTATGGAGGGAACCCCAGTAATCAGGACCAAAATACCCCTCCAGCCGTGTACCTTTTTATATGCCATTTCAAAGAGTTTCAATGATGCCTGCTGAAGGGAAGATGCCGCCTGCTTAATGTTTGCTCCTGTTTCACTGTCCTTTCGAGCAAGGAGTTCTCTCATTTTGGAAATCTCTTCTTTTAGCTTGTTGCACTGGAAAAAGCAAAACCAAAACTTGGTTTGCCCTTGCCCCAGGTCTTCTGTCTCATTACATATTATGCACTACTCAAATTTCTAAGTATTTTTTGCTTCCCCACCTCTACCCCTTATTTCATATTTTTGAAACCAAATCACTATCAAACTCAAAGAAAAGTTAGCTTCCCAAAGAAAAATGAACGTTGATGAAATGGTGAAAACTCTTGATTTGTTACCTCATCAGCAGGCAACTGATCCTTGAATTCTTCCATTTTGGCTTCTGTGTCATGAATAATTCCTTCAGCCATATTAACTGCTTCAACTCGTTCCTAATAGAAAGTATCAGTTTAGCATTAAGTAACTTTCTAATCAACCAGTTTCATTAACTTCTATAGCAAGTGAGATAATACGTGACTTGCCACACAGCTAACAGGAAAGCTCAATCAATCAAAGAAGGAGACTCATCACACTCTGAAGTACATGGGAAAGCTCTGAGAAAGTTGAGCTGGCTTTTGTGATGCGGGAATTTTGACAGTGGATGACTAAAAGAACATTCCAAATCCAATGGGTGCTCTTAATCTCAGGCACTAAGGAGGATGAGAAACGGGAAGGTTGTCTCAAGGCATACTGACTACAAGGTGTAATCCCACGTTAACAAAGACAGTCTACACAAACTGTAAATTAAAGTAAAGGAATGACAGATTAGGACCTGAGAGGTAAGAGAAACTTTAGATCAGTGCCCTGCCAAACTCTGTCAGCTTTAACAAGTTCAGCAAAAGTAATCACCTTCTTTCTCCTGTCTTCCTCAGCGTATTTCTCAGCATTCTTGACCATATTTTCAATATCATCTTTGCTTAATCCACCAGAAGACTGGATTACAACTGTAGTTAAAAAAAAAAAAAAAAAAAAAAGCATCTCTTTAGTTCTCTTCCTTTACTGCATTGAGAAATAACACTAAGCATGATGGTGCACACATTTCATCTCAGCACTCAGGAAGAAGATCCAAGTTCAAGGCCAGCATGGCCACAGACTACTACTATTTCTATTAATCTGAATAATTCTAACTATGAACATTAAGTAAATTGTATAAAAATTCAAAGACATTTACCACCATCTGGAAGGAAGAGGCAAGTAGATGTCAGGGTTTGAGGCCAGTTAAAGTTCCAGGCCAACCAGAGATACAAAGTTTCAAAATAATACAAAAAGCCAACAGAAAACAAAAACCTAGAAATACACTTCTACAAGTATAATGTTTAAGAAAGGCAAACATGGCTGAAAAGAGAAGACTCAGTAGTTTAGAAGCACTTGTTCTTGAAGAGGACCTGGATTTAAAATTCCTAGCACCCCAATGACAGAGCACAATTGTCCAGTCCCAGGTGTTTTGTTTGAAACCCCAACAAAACCCCAAAGGGACCAGATATGCATGAGATGCAAGAAATACATGCAAGGTAACAACCATATACAGAAAATAAATGTTTAGAGGCAGCTATCACTGATACCTGGAAAACGGCAGGGTGGGAACAATCTTCTACGGGATAAGAGGCATACAAAGGGGGAAAGGTTATGTATTTTCTAATAATGGCCACCTTACCTTTTCTTCAGCGGTAACCAAACCTTGGGCATTGCATATGCTAGGAACATACTCTCTACTGGACTAAGTCCTCAGCCTTAACTTGTTATTCATACATTCTCTGAATACTCACTCTGTTGCTCTCGTCCTGTTCCTTTATCTTTGGCAGAAACATGCACAATCCCATTGGCATCAATATCAAATGTAACTTCAATCTGAGGAACTCCTCGAGGGGCTGGGGGAATTCCAATCTAAAATAAATATCCAAAGTGAGCTCCTTTCAGAGGGCTGTGGGTTCCCATTCCCAACAGGTTAACCAACCACTTGCTTCCTAGAACAAGTGGTATTTCACTCAATCTTCAGAAACTTGAGATTTTAAGTGATAGTAACAGTTTTAGTGCTTCCTACAATTGTCTGGATATCAAGGGGTAAATAGCCATGATGGCTGCGTCCAGAGTTCATAGTAAATGAAGAAACCTCTCTATTGTATTAATGCTGACCCGAAACAACAGCTATCAAGTATTTTTGAAAGGAGCAATCACGACACAACTGATTTCTGAGTTTGAACACTTCCTAGGATTTTATAAATTTCAAGTTCTGCAAAGTACTTTCAGGTAAAAACTGAAATAATGGGTTTTATACTTCGCCTATAAAAAATTTCAAAAATAACACAGTATGCCTATATGTCAGTAGTTTAGAGGTTAAAATACTGCCAATTTTGCAAGCTATGGAGCCAAAAAGCATGATATTCAGATTCAAAATACCTACCAAAGTAAACTGTCCTAAAAGTTTGTTGTCTCCAGCCATCTCTCGCTCTCCCTGACACACTTTAATCTCTACTTGAGTTTGTCCATCAGCAGCAGTAGAAAACACCTAAAGAAGAAAACTTAGTTGGTTATGTGATTTAACTATACCTATCATACAAACTAGAGACACTAATACTGGATGATTCCTAATGTACCTTAATCTCAGAACAAGGACAGGAGCAGCAATTTGTATAAAAGGGCACACAATAGCAATTGCTTGAGCTCAGCAACTATGTTGTACAAGGTAAAGCTTTAAACCTTAAAGTTTAAGGCATCAAAACAAGGACTTAAATCCTTTGGGTTTTGGTTTGCAGTCCAGAGAAAGAGGATGAGAGACAGGAAGGGTGCCACGTGCTCAGTAATGAGAAGTCACCACATACTTTCCTTCAGAATGATGTGTCGACAGATACATCACTGCACAAATACCAAAGCTAGAGTTTTCTAGAAAACCTGAAGACTGAATGAAAAGAAATAAATGGAAATAAAATAATTTTGGTCACACTACATAGTCCAGGCAGTTCTCAAACTCTCACTTTTCATGCTTCAACTTCTCAAGTGCCGAGATGACCCATCAGCCACAAGAAGTAATTCTTCAACTAAGACCATGCCATGCCCATACATTTCTGCTTGACAGTGATCAATGCAGCCCACCTTGCAATCAAAATGAGACCCTTGTCCCTGCCAGGCCTGTCTTTATTTGCTTTTGATAACAGACTACAAGGACTTTGGTAGCAAATGACAACAGCCTTTTTAGGAAGTCGCATTACATTATCTTTCCCATAATCACCACTGCTAGCTGTTGTCTAAGAACTTTTCCAGGAATTAGGGAAAACAAAACAAAACAGGAAAAACAAAATACAGTGTCACCACCCACAGTCAGCTAGTATGAATTTATAAACAATGTTTTAAAGAAAAGATTCATAAAATGGCTAGAAACACATCACTCATAGAACTTAAAGCTCCTGTTAAGAGACAGGGAAAGGACGGCTCTTACCTGGCTCTTTTTGGTTGGAATAGTGGTGTTCCTATTAATAAGTTTGGTGAAGACACCTCCCAGAGTCTCGATACCCAGAGAGAGAGGAGTGACATCCAGAAGCAGCACATCTGTGACATCACCGGCCAACACACCTCCCTGAATGGCAGCTCCAATGGCTACAGCCTCATCAGGATTAACTGCTTTACTTGGGGCTCTGCCAAAAAGATCTTGAACAGTCTGCTGAACCTATCACCCAGAGAAAAAACCTGTCAGCTAACACTCAGGACAACTGCTGGAGTGACACAGAGCACGAACATGGTAGCCAGATCGCAAGTCAGATTCTGATATAAGAATGCTTATTTTTTGTTCATGTTCGACAACTTCAGAGCATTTCATTGTCTACTGAAGAATTTAATTATCCGGCTTCCCAGAAGACATTAATCATTTGAAACAGAAGGTACAAGACAAGGTGTTATGAAGTACAGTCTATGTATTCTACACAATTGGAAGACCATTTTGAAGGAAACAGTACTATGATTCTGTGGCTGAAATGAGGGATAGGTTTTGATATTATGTATTAGAACTAACAAAAATGCACAGCATCTTAGGAGAATCTGTTAGCATCAATGTGTCCTCTTAAACCAGAATCCTACAATATCTAAACTTACTCTGGACTCATTTTCCAATAGCTGGGTGTTTTAATAGAGAAACATTATATAACTACCCACCACAAACAAGGCACTAACAAAAGTAATAAATGCATAATTAACGTAGGCCCAAGATAATTCTACCAATTACCAAAAACAGCTGAACCTTCAACAGGTCTGTGCTCAGTTATTCTTTCTCTACACATCTGTTTTTCAGAATGATGTGTTGATTAATGAAATGCATCATTGCACAAATCTGTGTTGAAGAAATGTTAAGTAGCCCCAACTACTATACTGGAAAGATGTGGGACTGGCTACTATCAAGGCTTGATGACATTATTTTTGAGACTGGGTTTAGATTCTTCCTGTTACTTTTTCTTATATCTTTTAATTCAAATAAACTAAAAAGGCTTTTTTTTGGGGGGGGGGAGAGAGGTCAAGATGTCACTCTGTACTCAAGAGCCATTCCCCTGCATTAGCCTTTCAAGTGCTGAGATTATATGCATGAAATCACCACAGCCAACTAGAAGCACTTTTTGGTGAGGCTAGTCTCACCCTCCATTAGCTAGAATCGTTCATATTCATGTCTACACACAACATAAACAATTTGTCCCATGCATGTATTATGTATTAAGTGGCCCCCATAAAGAATACCATGAATCCATACCTTGGGCATCCTCGTCATGCCACCAACCAGAATCACTTCTCCTATGTCACTCTTGCCGACTTCTGCATCCTGCATAGCTTTCTGGCATGGCGCAATAGTTCTCTTGATTAGATCTGTGACAATGCCTTCAAACTGAGCTCGAGTAAGCTTCATATTTAAATGCTTGGGTCCAGAAGCATCCATTGTAAGATAAGGCAAGTTGATGTCAGTCTACAAAGAAACCACACGTCAGTAGAGAACCCAACTGGTACTTTGATACTCCCATTAATGTTAAGACCATACCCTAGGACAGGACTTAGAAAGCACAGTGTCAGACTTATTGATAGGGTCTACATATATTAACTGGGGCAGACAAGCTGAAATATGCTTGTCTGTTAGGAACCATACTGTGACCAGATGGTGGTGACACAAACTTTTAATCCCAGCACTCAGGAGGCAGAGGCTGGAGGTTGCGTTCAAGCCAGCCAACACTACACAGAGGAACTCAGCCTTGAAAAACAAACGGAAGCATAACGATATACTGTAGGATTGTCTTTAACAGCAAGTTAAAAAATAACCCATGTCTGAGCTGAAGAGATGGCTCATCAGTTAGTGTTTGCTGTCCGTGCAGAGGGCCAGAGTTCAGTTTCTCGCCCCTACATCGAGTAGCTAAGGACTGCCTACAGTTTCAGTTATAGGGAACCTGATACTCTCCTAGTTTTCACTGGTATCCTCACTCACTTTCTTCCATCCTCTCCACATATATAAAAATAAAATTATATACAAAAAAAAATCCTATGTGCATAAAGAAAAATTTTTTTAATCTCTTTAATAGCACCAAGCTAAGTTCCAAGAAATTAGGGAGTGTTACAGATGCTCAAAAAAAAGCAGGACCAATGTATGCTAGGTGTGCTGGCAGTGCCTGTAAACCTCAGGGGCGGCAGGCAGAAAATCAGACATTCAATCTTCTTCACCTAGAGTGAGTTCAAAATCAGCCTGAGCTGCAAAGAGATCCTGACTCAAGACACCTGACTTACATACTGCCATGACATCCACAAATAACAGGTAACTATATAACATCTAATAAATCCCAAATCCCATAACTTGGGGTCATAAACTATGCAATCAAGGACATTTAGACTGAATGTTAAACATTGTATATTCGTATAAAAACATTTTAATAAAATTTATCTGCTATTATACATAACTAATATATACTAAAAATTGTGGTACATGTCTTATCTCACCACTCAATTTTTTTACACAGCAAATAAATACGTATGCACATGTGTGCATGTGACTAGAAAAATGCAATCAGTTAAAAAAAATTAGATTAGCAAAATTCAAAGAATTTGCTGTTAACAGTGTCTGAGGAATATACATCCAAAGAGGAAAAAAACTGCTTAGTGCTCCTATCAAGGGCCAATAAGATACACAGGCTGAGAGAAGCCGAGTTTGTAAGCACTTTTCTTCAGGACGAAGTACATTAAATGGTTAAGTACTTCATAGTCAATACACTTTCATAAAAACAAAATTAAATCACCAATGTTATCTGGCTAAATTTTGTCAAAGAAAGTCTCAATTTGGCAATCACTAGCGCCTCTGAGGACTTTATGAAAGTTATTAAAATTTCTTATATTTTAATTCAAATACCCACATGGACAGTGAACTAGCATAATTCTATGGTATAATATAAACTCCAAGACTACCAACTTGTGTGTGAGCATGTTTATGTGCATGGTGTGTGTCCATCTGCCCATCCAAAACAGGGTCTCACTATAGCTCTGGGTGTTCTCAAACTCACTATATAGAGCAGGATGGCCTCAAACTTTCAGAGATCTGCCTGCTTCAGCCTCCCAGTTCCACTAGAGCAGTTTGAAGACAAAGCCATTCTCTGACACAAAATTCTGCTTTGCTTCTTCCCTTTACACTCTAACATGTGTCACTAATCCAGGGACCTTATTTTCCATTCCATTCCAGCTTTTCCCATATAAGTTTAACCATCTTTCTGGTGTAAAGCATGGGCTGGCACTTTGGAGAGAAGTGGCCGATAGAAAGCATGCACAAATAATTATGGATGGAAACAGCCCAGATAGGATTAAGCAAATGGCACAGGATGTGGCGCTGAGGGGTAGCAAGGTGTATCTGCCCACTACCAGATGAAATAAGGCTTCTTTAAAATTCTATCAGGTGTCTGTGTCTTTAAATGACTGGCAGTGGATTATCACAGGTATTTAAATAGCCTATTTTCTGAAACATTCTGGGGTTTGTATTTAATCATCTTAAGATAAACGCCAATCCAAATCCAAAGTTCACATCTGTACTCAGCTATTCTAACCTTTCCCTTAGAGGTCTTACCCCAAACCCTTATACATACTGTCCCACTCAACTTTCTCCAGCTCTACTAAAAAAAGAAAAAAAAAGTGTGCTATCTAAATGCATGTCTATGTGTACTATATAAGGACAGGTGTCTACAGGTGTCAGATCCACGGAACTAGAGTTAAAAAGCAGATGCTGGGAAAAAAAGGGGGGGGGGAACAACAGCAGCAAAACAAACAAAAAACAGCAATGGCTCAAGCCATTCTTTCTAACCACCTCAAAACTATCCTATGCTTAACATGCCTTATGCCCTGGTCAGATTTTTTTTTCCAGCCCCTAAACTCTCCCTACCACACAAAGGGTCTCACTGAGTAGGCAGTGTTTACCTTTAACTCCCACCACCTATGTACCAAACAAACTGCCAGGTTCCTTTTGAACCTGACACCAATCCTTCACTTCAGCCTTCAGTTAGATCTGAGCCACTACCTTTAAGTTACTATTGAATGCACAGCCCTCACTATTCACAACTAAGAGGAACTTGCCACTCTCAGCCACACTTGTAGGTTAAAAAGAGTAAACCAAGTCATCCAAAATCATACAACTAGAACCTTTGGAATGGTGCTGGAGATTATCAGTGGTTAAAAACACTGGCTGCAGCCTTTATCCTAGCATTTGGAAGGCAAAGACAGACAGATCTGGTCTACAGAGTGAGTCCAGGACAGGCAGGGTTACACACAGAGAAACAAACCAACCAATCAATCAATCTTCTGGTTTGATATTAATATTCTAATTAATGTCCATCTTTCCAAAATAAATAGTATGTGTTGAGAAGTTTCCAAGGATTTACTTTACAGATTTACAGTCAAAAGTGTACAAGGATTTAATATACTTTACTGAAGTGCTGAAGGCTAGAAAACAAAATACCCTCCAATAAGATACAGCCACATAAAAGTAACCAGGCTCTTCCTCTCCAGATACCACATTCTGAGACCTAATCACTCTCCACTGGCAGTTCAACACATTCTAAGCCACAGTGGACTGTCCTGTTTGCAATGCTGGGACCTAACTCACGAGTTCATACGTGTTAGCCATGTCCTCTACCACTGAGCTATCATCTCCTGCTCTAAAATCCTCATCTTGCTGTTTGTGATGATGCATGCCTTTAATTCAAGCACTGAGAGGTAAGAAAGGAGACAGGAAGACAGACAAGAGGGAAGAAGGGAGAAGGAAAAAGAAAACCAACATCTTTAACTTAAAAGAAAAGTGTATTCAGTGTCATTCAAATAGGAACATGATTGTTATTTGGCTCCAATATTATTTATTAAAAAGGTTTAACAAAGGGGTGGAGAGAAGGTTCAGTGGGTTAAGAGCACTAAGGACCCAGGTTCAATGTCCAACATAGACCTGGCATTTCCAGAGGTTCTGACACTTTGTTCTGGTCTCCACAGGAATGAAGCACGCATAAATATTTACTTCATTCATTAAAAAGATCACTATACTGTCCCTTTGCGCATGGCCAAGGCTATTAGTAAACAGAAAACCGGAAAGAGGCTACACTGACATTATTAAATAAGAATACACTATTCAAAAAAGTTCAAGGAAAACATATCCACCAAAACTACTGGGATTTGTCTATGTCTCACCTGCACAGATGAGGAGAGCTCACACTTGGCCTTCTCAGCAGCTTCCCGAACCCTCTGAAGTGCCATGTTGTCTTTGGTCAAATCAACCCCTGTCTACAAAACAGGATTAGTGAGACAATATAGAAACTGCAGTAGCAGCAAAGAACACATTTTATTTGCTTATGAAGGGACCATCCCTTTATAAAGAAACACAATTATCACCTTTAGAGACAGGAAAAAAACAGGTGTGAGTAAGAGTGAAGAAACACCCATCAACTCTCCAAGCTCAAGGCCTCTTTTTTCAGTTTCTTCTCTAATACTGTAACCAAGGTCACTTGGTCTTTTGTTCCCAATCTAAGGCTATATAAAACTAAATTGGATTAGTTTACCCATGACCGTGAAATGCAATTACCTTAAGACAGAAAAACTACTAACAAAGCAAAGAGCAATCTAAACAAAGATTCTCAATAACCCAATGCCTACCATTAACCACAATGTAGGTAACTAACCTCCCTCTTGAACTCCTTGACAATGTGCCGTAACAAAGCTTGGTCAAAGTCTTCACCTCCTAAGAAAGTATCCCCATTGGTGGATTTCACCTCAAACACTCCTTTCTGAATTTCCAGGATAGAAATATCAAAGGTTCCACCACCTAAATCATACACAGCAATGCTAGAAAGAAAGAAAATATTTAAGCCTCAAGAAACAAAACCTATTACAAAGGAATGAACTCAAAACCCAAAGATTAATTAACTTAGCTATTTTCCTGAGATTTTAATAATTTTGAAATCTAGTGACATGCCTGTTAACGTATGGCCCACCAGTAACATACAACACAGAAACAAGGAGCAAATGATTGTTTCTGAAATATTTATCAACATATAATAAAAATAAAAATTATCAAGGGTCTAAAGCAAATAGTAAAATGCTCTTAAATTAATGAAACACACCATATATACTGATTTGGAAAGAATAAAAGGACATTTTTAGCCTAAGCACAATATTTTAACCTTACAAAATGAAAATGGTATAGCATAAATCTGACAGCTGTTATAACTTAGTTCACAGTTCAGGTTGCTTTCACAGCACAAGGCAGGCAGTGGAGGAAGAGTTTACAGAGGGAGTTCCAGGAGATCCAGACCTATGTTAAGAAACCCTGCCTTAAAAACAAATGACAGGGAAGCTGGAAAGATGGCTCAGCAGTTAAGAGTACTGGCTGCTTTTCCAGAGGTCCTGAGTTCAAGTTCCAGCAACCATATGGTGGCTCACAACCATCTATAGTGAGATCTCATGCCCTCCTCTGGCGGGTGGGTGTACATGCAGACAGAACACTATGCATAATAAATAAATATTATCTTAAAAAAAAAAAAAAAAAAAAAAACAACAAAAAAACAAATAACAGAGCTGGAGAGATGGTTCAGTGGTTAAAAGCACTGTCTGCTCTTCCAAAGCACCCGGGTTCAATTCCCAGTAACCACATGGCAGCACAACTGTCTGAAACACCACTTCCAAGGGATCTGACACCTTCACACTGATGCACATAAAATAAAAATTAAAAAAAAATAAAATAAACTATATAAAAAAACAAATGACAATACAAGGCCTGAAAGACAGATGGTTTTTAGCAAGTACAGATGCTTGACTTCCAAGCCTCATCAATCCCAGGAACCTACATAGAAAGAACTTACTCCTGTAAGTTGTCCTCTGACCTCTTCCTGTTCACTGTATTTCATGAACATGCCCCACCACATGTATAATACATGTTAAGGGGGCTGGATTGAGTTCAGCAGTGAAGAGCACAGAGTGCTCTTCCAGAGAATCAGTTTTTTATACCCAGCACCTCCATCAGGTAGCTCACAATCACCTGTAATCTCAGTTCCAGGGGAATCTGACACTTCTGTGGGTGTCGGGAATAACATACATATAACCACATACAAACACATTAGTAATTGACAATAAGAATAAATTGTAATTTACAAAAAATAAAATAAAAATGAAAGTAGGTATGGTGGCACACTCTTTTAATGCCAGCCTGGCCAACAAAACAAGTCCAGGACAACCAAGGCCACACAAAAAAGCCCTGCCTTGGGAAGAAAAAACAAAACAAAACAAAACAAAAACCAAAAAACAAACCAAGCAGGACCATCCAGAGGGCGGGCACCTGCGGCCAAGGCTGACAACCTTACTTGAGACTGTTTTGGAAAAAGGCAAAAGACAGCCCACACATTTTATCTTCTGACCTCCAGAACCAATACATGGGCCCACACAAAATAGAAAAATGTAATAAAACTACATGAAAACCTGTAATTCAGACAAAAATATTACTGTTATCAACTTACACCTTATCTTCAGATTTGTCGAGACCATAGGCCAGAGCAGCAGCTGTAGGTTCATTAATCACTCGAAGTACATTTAGCCCAGCTATCTGGCCAGCATCCTTAGTGGCCTAGAGAGGTAGAAATAAATGTATCTACCCATCCTTTAACTCAGGCAACCCTCACCACCACCACACACAGGCATCTAGTTAACTTTACCTGTCGCTGTGAGTCATTGAAATAAGCAGGGACTGTGATCACAGCATTTTTTGCTGTGTGACCCAAGTAATTTTCTAGAAAAGAAAGAATAAAATTCCATCATGGTATTGTGTCAGAAAAAAAAAAAAAAGCAACAAAATTACTAATGAAGCCTAATAAATCCACATCTCATCCTCTGTGGAGCAACAGACAACACTCACCTCCTTTATGGCTCAACATGCAGAGAGCATGTAGAAAAAACACTCCAACAAGCACTAGATTGAGTACTGTATGCTACCACTGTAATCTAGCACTGAGGAGGTAGCAGGAGGAAGTAAGTCCAAGGCTGTCCTGGATTACATAGCAAGACCTGCAAGCATGGTAGCTCATGTCTATAATCTTAGGAAGATCCCCACACGTTTGAGGCCAGTCTGGGCTACAAAGTGAGTTCAAAGACAGCCTAGACTACAGTATGAAATCTGGTCTCAAAAATCAAATCACCCGGGCTGGAGAGATGGCTCAGTGGTTAAAAGCACTACCTGTTCTTCCAAAGGAATTGAGTTCAATTCCCTGCAACCACATGACGGCTCACAAGCATCTATACTGGGATCTGATGCCCTCTTCTGCATGCAGGTGTACATGCAGAAAGAACACTTATATGTAAAATAAATAAATAAAACCTTAAAAAAAAAATCACCCGAAGTACTATTAGTTGTTGCAAAATATTTGATCCCAGTGTATACCCCAAAATTATGAACTGTAAAAATCCTATTTACTGTTTGGTTTGAGTGAGCCATAACACACCTATATTTCAAGAATTTTCTCTTTATTGTAAACAGGTGATTATGTTATGGTTCACCCAGCCCTAGCACGAACCTTTAATCCAAGAGCTCTCTGTACACATGATTTAATGAAGTTAACTCTAGGTCAAGAGGCAGACCAAGAAAACAGCTGTTAGAGATTAAAGGGTAGGAGGGACTTTGAGTTGAGGGTATTTAAGACAGCATGGAGAAGAAAGAGCTTTTAACTCAAGCTCTGGCGTTAGCTTCTTGGCTTCTGGGCTTTGACCTAGCAACCTTCAGCCTTGGGTTTTTGGCCCTTTCCTCCTAGATTGTCCAGTTGTACTATTGAGCCTTTTGGGTTTTTCCATCCAGACCTGAGCTGAGAAGGAAGGTCAGCTGGGTGCTTTCTCTGCCTCTCTGAGCTAGCAGGTTTTCACCCCAGCACCTGGCTCCTGAGTCCTTATTAGTAAAATAGAATGCTTGGGATGCTCATCATTGTAACGGTTAGTACTTAAGAGGCTGCAACAGTAGGATCAGCAGTGAGGGATGCTAACACCCTGTGCTGTTGTCCCCCCCACAACCCAACCCCAAAAGGTCTGCATGTCTGCAAAGTACTTTTGTGCAGCTCAGTAGCAGAGATGTGTTGGCTGGAAATTCCAAATCACCATTAGCATTTCAGTCAGGACTGATCAACATCCAATGGCCTTTAAGTCTAGTTTAGTATGTAGCTTTCTGGCTTTTCACACAAAACACTACACTGGACACCAGTGGAAAAAAGCAAGAGGCATCATTAAGAGAGTTAAACTCAATCTTCAGATTAAGTATGAGTCCAAAAGTTTTGCCATTTTTAGATTTTAGATGCAAAAAGCTTCGGACCCCATAAAGAGCATGAAGTTAATCAGTATAACCCCAGAGGAGCCACCAGCACTTACAATTTTCACAGATGTGAACTAAATCCGCTCACCTGCAGTCTCTTTCATCTTCATCAATACAAATGCTCCAATCTGACTTGGAGAATAGAGTTTTCCATGAGCCTCAACCCACGCGTCACCATTGGAAGCACGGACAATTTTAAAGGGAACATTCTTACTGAAAGGCAAAAAGAAAACTTGCTCGTGAAACTTATAATGCCAAGGTCACCATAAATCACATCCATTTTAAAGAGCAGAAAGACCAGGTGGTCTCTATGAAAATGAACATACGATAAAATACTACTTGGCCACAAAGAAAAGTATTGATGCAAGGAACAAGGTAGATGGAAACTGAATTAGAGTAACTGGAAGAAGCCAACCAGGTCTACACGTGACTCCATTCAAAAATCTTATACTGCATACAGAGCTCAAATTTTCCCAAGATCCACATAAGAGTAAACCCAAGATCAGTTTTTAAATTTTACTTATGTGTATTAGTGTTTAGTAAGCATATACCTGTACATACAAGCCAGAACATATCCTTTGGAACTGAAGTTACAATTGCTTTGTGAGCCACAATATGGTTCCTAGGAATCATTCCAGGGTCCGCTCTTAACTACTGAACAACCAATCTCCAGTCCCTATTTTCTTTTTTATGTTTTACGAGACAGGGTCTCTGTGCAGCCTTGGTTGTCCTGGAGGTCACTCTATAGACCAGGCTGGCCTTGAACTCAAGAGATACTGCCTCTGCCCCCAAGTGCTGGGATCAAAGGCCTGCACCACCACACAGTTCTGTTTTAAATATATATATTTATTTGTTTTATGTGCAGTGATGTTTTTTCCGCATTTATATCTGTATGAGGCTGTCAGATCTCCTGAAACTGGAGTTACAAACAGTTGTGAGCTGTCATGTGAGTTCTGGGAATTGAACCCAGGTCCTCTGGAAGGACAGCCAGCACTTCTGCGCCATCAATCCAGCCCCTAGTAATTTCTTTCTTTTTCTTTTTTTTCATTTTAATCTCAAACAAGCAAACTGGACCAGTGAGATGGCTTAGTAAGGTTCTTACTGCCAAACCTAATGACCTGACCTTCAATGCCCAGGACCTACATAGAATACAACAGGCTCCTGCAAGGTGTACTCTGACCTCCACTCATGTGATAGACCGTGAACATAGCGCCCCCCCCCCAAAAAAAAGTAACAATAATAAGAAAAATGTAAAAGCCAGCAGGCATGGTGCCACAAGCCTTTAATCCCAGCATTCCTGGAGGCAGCAGCAGGAAGACCTCTATGAATTTGAGGCTAACCTGTCTACAAAGACAGTTTCAGGATAGCCAGGGCTACACAGAGAAACCCTGTCTCAGAACAAAAACAAAAACTTCAAAACCCAGGCAGCAGTGGCACACAAATTTAGCACAAACACTCAGGAGGCAGAGGCAGGAGGATCTTTCAGTTCGAGGCCAGACTGGTCTACAGAGTGAGTTCCCAGGAAGCCATGCTACAGAGAAACCCTGTCTCAAAAAAACAAAAACAAAAACAAAAACAAAAACAAAAAAAAAAAAAAGAATGAGCAAAGGATTGTGCACACACACACAAAAATACGCCCACAGATATTTAACTTAACATATGATATAACCTATGCCATTTCATGACTGACAATGAGGGACAGAACCTTGTTCAAAGCACTCAGTCTTCTGAGTTGATTTCCACATTACTCACGTGTCTTTCTGCACTTCGGGGTCATCATACCGACGTCCAATAAGACGCTTAGTAGCATAGAATGTATTGTTTGGGTTGGTGACAGCCTGTCGCTTTGCTGGCATACCAACAAGTCGTTCTCCATCTGCTGTAAAGGCAACTACCGAAGGGGTAGTTCTGGCACCTTCAGCATTCTCCAGAACCTAAAATTCCCAAAGACAGCGATTAAGGTATTAAGTCACCACTGGCATCTTTGTAGCCATGATTTAAGCAGCTCAAACAATTAAAAATAAGTAAATAAAAGTTGAAGGGATAATGCACTAAAATGGCATGTTTTAGTATGACCACTACACAATAAATATTTCAAATGTATGCAGAAGTCTATGGCCACACCACCTTAAATATACCTAATCTTGTTAAATATATGTGAAAGCCTTGTAAAAGCTCAAGTCGTTTCAGATAAAGGCATGAAGAGGCAACCTCTACATAACACAAAACCCCTTGAATGCAGAACTCTCCTTGCTTCTAGCAAATAGAAGCTTCCAAGACACTGTGAACCTTACTGGACTCCAAAACTGAGCAAGTCATTTTAAGTTCTCTAATAGCATTATCACCTCTACCCCAGAGAACATATTGAAATCCTACTCCAAGAACTTATATTCACTCAATTATCAACGCCCAATTAATTAACCTTATGTCAATTCTTAAGTCCTACAAAAACAAAAGGTTTTAAGTGCAAATTAGAAGTTTGGAGCAGTAACACCACCTGCAGTCTTTGCACTAAATAATACTCAAGTCTAGCCTAGAATACATGTCTCAAAAACAGCATCAAACTAGATTCACCACTCTTTGTTTCAGACAAGGTTTCTCTGTGTGGCCCTAGCTGTCCTGGAACTCACTGTGTAGCTGGACCTGAACTCAGAGATGTCCTTGTCTCTGCTGGGATTAAAGGTATCCATCAATTTATCCTGGCTCAGATTCAGCATTTCTAAGCACCTAATGCCAGACTGGATACCTAAGTAACCTCAGGCTTCCAATTATGCTCACCTTTGCCTGTTTGCCCTCCATAACTGCCACACAGGAGTTAGTGGTACCCAAATCAATACCAACAACTGCACCCTTGATAGCTTCTGATCTGTAAGAGAGTAAAGAATACCATGGTTATCTCAGCAGTGGTCTCCAACAAGATAGGAAGAACTTGTTTCAAGCCGGCAAGTTGCATCAACCACAAATACAAATGAGTAACTGGAGAGAAATAGTTACTTGTTAACAAAATGCACCCACCACAGCCTTAGAGTTCAATTAATGTGTGTTCTTTCAAAAGAAATTGAAGTTATACTCACGCATAATCCCTTCTTGAAACAAATCTAAAAGCTTCATGACTAAGGCCATTCCAGCCATCCTGGGGGGAAAAAAATTGCATCAGCCATCAAATACACAAGGAATATTTCCAAATCCTGAGATACACATGTAAACTTTAGTCCTTAATATGTAAAATGTATAGATTTACCTATCACACATCTGCAAGTTTTCCAGACTGTAAGGTAAAAGTAAGCAAACATAAAATTGTTTTGAATTACAAAAAAAAAAATTTACACTGCAATGGAGATTTTCAACTTTGACACTGATCTTGTACCAATATTTGCTGTGACAAATTGAGTGAGGGATGCTTAGAAGCAACTCTAGCTTTTAACAACAAGAGGCCGGAAAATTAAGTGTCCCTCAAAGTCATGACAACCTGGAAGTTGGCAGATGTGCCTCCCCCTGACCCCTAAGGGCCGGTGACAGGGAACCACTTCTGCTTAAGACCTGGTTAAAGAAACACCATGCAAAAAATTCAAAATTAATTCATAGCTGCCAGACATGGTGGAAAAACCTTTTAATCCTAACACTTGAAAGCCAGAGTCAGGCCTGGTCTACATCAGTTCCAGAAGAGCCAAGGCTACACAGTGAGACCCTGTCTCAAAATTAACTCACACCTGACTCCAATTACGTGCGCACTCGAAGTAGAAATTTAAGGTACACAGGGACATTCTACTGGCCTTCTGAAACAACTATCTTGGAGAGCTACAAGTCTCATTCTCCAAAAACATTTTTTTCTTATTTCAGATAAAGTTCCACAATCTTTTTCCTGTTCTGACTATTATAAACCACAAGTAAATAGAGGACGAGGATGGTGGTGTTCGCTTTCAATCTCAGCGCACGGGAGTCAGAGACCTTGCCTCAAAAAAAAAATAAATAAATAAAAATAAAAAATAAAAAATCGAAGAAAGAAAAATTGAGGTTGGAATTTAACTTTCAGTTTCTAACGCAGATGCTCCCTACTCCCTGTTTCTTCCCAGCAGCGGGATTCTTGATTATTAATTTACAGTAGAGGAATTGTCCTTCGACCTATAACAGAACCTAGCGTAAATAGTTCTGCCTTGCAGTAAACTACATCCATTACAAGACCAACCACATCCAACTGGCCACAGGTTAGGGTAAATTAACGGGGTAATTAGCGAGGTAAGACTACATAGAACGCCAGGGATTGTGACTCAGCAGAGCTCGAGGCTGAAGCCCTCGACCAGGCCAACACCGGCCACCGAATATCCGTTACCTCCCTTCGCCCGGGATTTCTCCTAGAGCCTGACCCCGAAGGGCAAGGCCTGCCTCTCCCCTATCGAGGCCTCGAGTCCCAACCGGAAGGCATGGCCGTTCCTCACCTGGTGACGGGCGGCCGCCGGGCTCCGGGAGGCTGCGGTGCCCACGAGACGAGCGGCCGCGGCCCTGCTGGCGCTGATCATGGCGGCTGGACAGAAGGGGTGCGAGGCAGAGAGCAGACACCCAACAGGCCCGGAGCTGCGCGCACGGCCGTGGCTACGCTTCTGGAAACCTCCAACCACGTGGGGCGGGGGGGCGGGGGTTGGCCGCTGCGGCACGGAAGCCCGCTCTTCCGCCGAGGCGCCGAGCGCGTTGCCTGACCAGAGACGGCCGGGCCGCGGCTCCCGTCATCGGAGCCCGCCGCCAGCAAGCTCCTCTGCATGACTGCTGAAGAGTCCTGTACTCTGATCACGGCCTCCGCGGTCGTGCGGGCGGTGAGAAGGCAGAGGGAGCAGAGGGACATACAGGCATTGCCCCGGACAGCCCCGGTCCTCAACGGTAGGAAAGACTCAAGGTCACACGGGATAAATGACGAAACGATTACAGGCTCCTTGCGTCAGTTGCAGCGCCTGCGCCGTTGGCACGGGACCGAGGCCCTAGCGCGCATGCGTAAGGGGCGTGGAGGACCCGGGTTAGGGACCTAGTGGTAACGTTTATTGGATGCTCCGGTGCACGCGAATTTGTTCGAGAATACCCGGGGCGCGAGGTCGCGCGCGTGCAAGTTGGGCGTGTGGAAATTTTTCCTGAAGCCGCCACTTGCCGCGGGCGCCATCTTGTCCTAAGGCATTGTTAAGGGTACCTTTGTTCTCGTTCACAGCCCGACGAAGTATGCACACCTGGGTATCGGCACCCTTACACAAATTTGTGCGGCCAATTGAGAGAGCGGGGTTAGGTTCCCAGCCTCTAGGACAGCATCCGGTTCACGAAACCTTAAATCACTTTTCAGGCCGTCTTGGAAAGGTTAGGGGAAAATAGGTCAACTGCTGCTCTTTCCGACCGGTTTGCTGGGTCAGAGGCGTCTCTGTACCTTTACAGTCCTTGCGCTGGCCGAGTGTCAGTTACTACTGTGTGACTTTTAAAGACAGGTCCTGGCAGTGTCAATGGCGGAGTGGGGTCCGGAGAGCGGGGATAGGGGAGGGAGGGATCTCGCTGTGGCCCTGGCTGGCCTTGATCCCACCAGTCTCTACCTCCCGTGTGCTTTTTAAGGGTTTGTGCCACCCCACCCAACACAAGTGTCTTACGAACCTAAACTATGTGGCGACTTTGTAGCCTCAGCTGTCTCGATGGTAAGACAGTTCAATGATTCAAAGACAGGAAAGTAGAACTTGGTTTTGGAAGTAAGCATTTCGATGTCAATAGAGAATTGTTGATTTGGGAATAGCTGCACGGGCCTGTAATTCCAGCATTTGGGAAATGGAGGTAGGAAGGTTAAAAGGGAATCTTTGACTTCATCACGAGTTCAAGTAAAAGTGGCCATCACTGACAAATTATGAACAAAGTATGGGGAAACTGGGAGGTAAAAAAAATACAGTCAGTTATCTTCTGAGAAGGGTGGAAGTGAAGGTGAGAAAATAGCTAGGAATGGTGGCGTAAGCCTCCAGCACTTGGGAAGAGGAAGAAGCAGGCGAATAAGAAATTAAAACTTATCTTTGGCTACATAATGAATCGAAAACCAACTTATGACACTATGAAACCATGAACCTATTTGGAAAAAAATGTAAATAACCAGGGTCTGTGGCACATGCCTGTGATCCTAGCACTGGGAGGCAGAGGCAGGTGGACCTCTTGAGTTCCAGGACAGCCTGGTCTACACAAAGAAACCTTGTCTGGGGGGGGGGGGGGACGGACAACAGCACAGGCATTACAATTAGTCAGAGATAATGCAGTTTAACAGCTGGTGTGGTGAAATATGCCTGTAATCTATGGAAGCAAAGGGTAAAGTAAGAATTGATTTTAACACGGCTACATAGTAAGACCCTGTCTCAAAAAGTAAAAGGCCTAGAGATTTATCTCAGTTGGTGTGTGCTTGCCTATAACATGCTAGATCATGAGTCCTTCACCCCATTAATCAGGTTTGGTGGCACACACTTCATCCTAACATTCAGGACACTGAGGCAGGAGGAGAATAAAAAGTCAAGACCAGGCCAGGCTATATTGCCAATACCACGCTGCACAGGAGACAGCCTCAAATCAAAAGAAACCTCTCACCCCTCTTCATTAAATTACACTTGTCATTATAACCTTACTAGTAGATCTAACACTTAAAGAAGTTCCCCCAGAAACTGCTTTGGCAAAGCCATTAAAGTTACAGGTTGTTCACACACACACACACACACACACACACACACACACACACCCGAAAAACATACTCTGCCATGTAAGACTTGTCCTGGCATGGCCAAAAGTTTGAGGTCAGCCAGATCTATGTAGGGAGTTCCAAAACGAACAGGGCTATATAGCAAGACCTTGTCTCAAAATGCCCTGAAGCAAGCTTGGTGTGGTTGCACACGCTTGTAATCCCAGCATTCTGGGAGGCAGAGGCAGGCAGATCTCTGTGAGTTCAAGGCCAGTCTGGTGTACAAAGCAAGTCCAACACAGCAAGGGCTATTACACAAGAGAAAAATAAAGCCCTTAGGCAGCAACAACTAAGTTAAGTATTTGCTTTCCTTACAGCCCCAGAATCCAATGCTATATATTTTATTTAGTTTGTATCTCAGACTGTCCTCAAATTTGAGGCATGGTACCCAAGGTTTTGTGCATGCTAAGCAAAAGCTCTACCACCTGAGCTATAACCTTAGTCCAAATAACCACAGTTCTAGGATTATAAATATACCTGCTTTCCTTACAGTTTTGTCAGGCGCCTCAAAAATATTCCTATTGACCACAAGGGGGATGTGGCAGCTCAGTGTTGAAAGCATGAATCTAACTATATGAGCTTTTAATATTTACCAGTATGACAGCCTTCCAAACTGCCTTACAAATGAGCATCTGCAGCCTGAAGGCTGGAAGAAAGAAACTGAATCCAAGAAGGGTTCAGGTGACTCAGAGTGGACAGTGAGATCCACAGTCCAATGGTATAGTTGACTATACAGCACTGTCTTATCCCGGGCTGACCTCTAACTGGCTATGTAGATCCGGCTCCCCTCAAAGGATCGGATCTGCCTCCCTAGTGTTGGCACTAAAGTTGACACCACCACACCTGGTACTTTTTGTTAGATAGGGTCTAAATGAAACAATCTGGCCTTGCGTTCACCCTTTTTGACAAAGCCAGAACTTGAAGCCAGCCTGTCTGACTTCAGAACCTGCATTTCACACCCAAACCGAAATGGGTCTTCACTTTCGTGTTCGCATACACAGAGAGGAGTGGTGGGTACTGGCCTATTCCACTGTTAACAGCAGTAACTTTAGGTGGTGGAAATAAATAGTCAAAAATGCCTATTATAGGATAACCGCAGCGGGATTCAGGGCTTAACGTGTAGGTAACTGGGTGGTGGAGTGCCTGCCACAAGCACAGGTGTGTGTGGGCTTCGTCCCACGACAGAACACAGAAAAACGTGAGATTTAATCTGTGATCTAACCCATGGAATTATACTGTAACTTATAGACTGTAAGGACTATAAATTACTTTCAGGTTTTTTTTTTTTTTTTTATGTGTGTCCCAACCTGGCCCTAAACTTGAAATCCTCCTGTCTCAGCCTCCCAGGTGCTTGGATTACAGGTGTTCACTACATTCCGTGGTTACTTTTGTATTTTTAAAGCAATGTCTCTTTAAACCAGCGACTCAAAAGACAAATGTCATGTGGTGGCACCTTCCATCTTCAGGAAACAGAACTGTGGTGTGCTGTAGGAATTTGTCACTTTGGTTCTCCTTGCGATTTTTCATGTTCCTGTGACAGATTTCAGGAGTCAGTTCCCACGCTTGTCTTCTGGCGTTAGCTACACTGCACTGGAGAGGATTGTATGGTGCTCCTCTCAAACTTTCTGCTGAGCTTCCCTCAGGAAAAAGTACTAAATCAGGTGATGTCTCTGTCCCCGGGCATAGTAATAATTAGTAGGTTTTGTTCTATGTCTACTAACCCACCAACTTGGCTGCCTTCTTAGGAGAGAAAAAAGAACTACATCAAAATAATATGACAAGCTGGATGGTGGTGGCACATGAGTTCAATCCCAGAACTTCAGAAGCAGAGCTAGGTGGATCTCTTCGAATTCAAGGCTAGCCTGGTCTAGGACAGCCAGGACTACAAAAAGAAATCCTGTCTTAAGGGTCCCCCGCCCCCCAAAAAATGACCCTTTGATAAGCTATGACATCTACATCTCAGAGATAATGATGTTACACTGTACAGGCAGAAGTCAGTCTGCTCTGGATTTTCCTTCAGATATGGAACACAGTGGTGTGTAAGACAGATGAGGGACTCATCAGAAGACTCTTTGTGGGAAGGGTAGGGATGACAAAAAGCAGAGATTTGCTGTTAAGATCCATACAGGAAATGAGGTGTGGTAGTTCACACCAGTAATCTCAGCGTTCTGGAGGTGGAGGCCACCATTGACTACAGAATGAGTCTGAGGTCTTTCTAGGCTACATGAGCTGCAGCATTTGTCACTGAGCCCAGCTGATGAGCTGTTTCTAAGCTTGTAAAGTGCATAGGTAATCTACAGGGTCCATGGGTATGGCTACCCTGCCTATGCACCACAACTTGGCATAGAGCCAAAAAGGAAGTCTGATTTGCCCTGGTTATGTTTGGGTATATTTGTATGTAACAGAGTATGTACCAAGGCAAGGGTCTTTGGAAAAGGTAGATTTGGTTAATTTTAGAGGTCGGTTACGTGTGTGTGTGTGTATGTGTATACTAGGAATTGAAACTAACACCTCATACATGCAGAGCACAAAAAAAAGAGGAAAAAATCTCCCATTGAGTCACACTTCAGGCACTACTACCTTCCTTTTGTTAAAAGTAATCGTCCTACCCTAACTGAAGACCTTTTCATTTTCAGATTTTTTTCCTGTATCCTTTGAGTGCTGATGGTTCTATATTATTTTCTTTTTTACTGTTTTTGGAAAAAAAAAATTCTGTGATGAGTGTTTTGCCTGTTTGTATGCTGTGTACCACATAGGTGCCTGGTGCCTATGGAGGTCAAAAGAGGGTGTCAGATCCCCTGGAGTTACAGAAGATTGTGAGTTACTGCGTGGATGCTAAGAATCAAACTCAGTCCTCTGCAAGAGCAACAACTGCTCTTAACCTCTGAGCCATCTC